AATTTTATATCATTGTTTTGTCTGTGTTTTTAAATAGGCTGTACACCGCCCTGAGTCCTTCGGGAGAAGGGCGGTATAGAAATAAAATTATTATTATTATTATTATTATTATTTATCAATGTGGGTTTCATAATGTTCCAAAACATTCATGATTATTCTCACGTTGTCTCTAATCTACCTACAGGGTAAGAAGCCATTTTGATCTTCATGTATAAATTGACTTAGGAAACCTTTTAGCCTCTCTGCTAATACTGCCGCAAATAGTTTGTAGTCTGCGTTAAGGAGCGAAATAGGTCTATAATTCTGGATTAGGGATAAATCACTACTATCCTTCGGCAAGAGGGTTATTAATGCTTCTGACCAGGAGTTTGGGATCTTTCCCTCCCGGATTACCCCATTAAATAGGTCTGTCATATAAGGGTTTAAGACTTCCCAAAGTGCCTTATAATATTCTATCTTCTTTTCTATATAAGTCGGTATAAAATTCCTGCGCTATTCTTTTCTTCCCTTCTTCCCCTGTGATCCAATCACCATTTCCATCTCTCAAATTGTGAATTTTACTCTTTTCCTTTTCGTTTTTTAATTGGTATGTAAGCCATCTTCCCTGTTTATTTGCATTTCAAATTGTCGTTGTTTCATCCACCTATTTTTTTTTCTAAATCCTCTTGGTCTAGTAAATTAATTTGGTGTCGCACTAATTTCAAATTCATATTAAGTTCTCTATTGTTTGGGTCCTGTTGCAACACAACCTCACTTCTTGTCAGGTCTTCTAATAATTTGTCTCATTTAGCCTTCTCCTTCTTCTGTTTCCCAGCTGTATAATTTATCACTAAACCCCGAAACACTGCTTTAGCTGTTTCCCATACATTTAAAAAGTTTGCATTTTCATTATCATTTTCCCGGAAGAAAAAACCCATCTCCTTCTTTACATAAGTTAAAAATTGTTTGTCTTTGAGGACCCTCACGTCCATTCTCCACCTAGGCCTTGTTTTCAACCGTCCCTATGATATCCAGAGTGGATTATGGTCTGTCCACTCATTGACACCTATCTCTGTGTTCCCTGCCACAATTCCCCCGACATCCAAGCCGCATCTATCCGTGACCAAGATGAGTGCCTGGCGGAGAAGTATGTATATTGTCTATCTTCTGGATGTTTTTCCCTCCAAATGTCTTTAAGTTCAAATTCCTCTTGTATTTGATGGCAAATAATAGGCAGTCTTTTCTTTACAGAGCTCTTTTTCCCCTCCTGTTTCCTGTTTCCAGATATATAGTCTTTATCTTTATCATCTATGGTGTTAAGGTCCCCCACTACACAAATGTGTGAGTAATCATATTCTACCAATTTACTATAGAGACTCTGAAAAAAGTCTTTCTGATTCCCATTGGGTACATAAATACAAACCAGTAAGCATTTTTTACAACAAATTTCTACTTCAATCATTAGAAGTCTCCCTTCTTCATCTGCAAAAATTAATTTCGAGTTTATATGCCTTTGGATATAAATTGCTATTCCTCTTTTTTTAATTTCCGCTAAAGACATATATAATTGACCCAGTTTGGTATAATTCAATAAATAAAGATGATCCCTTTTCACATGTACTTCTTGAAAGCATATTATATTCAGACGTGCTTTTATTAATTTATTAAAAATCTTTTTTCTCTTATTTGGGCTATTCAGCCCATTGATGTTAACTGACAATAGACGAATTTCCTCCCCCATCCCTTCTCCCTTCTGTTGCCCTTACTTACCTTCTGCTTGGAGTTTCTTTTTTGTTTGTCTTGTTCTCTCTGGCTCAGTCCCTCAACTCCTATCTCTGCCTCTATTTGCGTCTGTCCTCTTCCTTTCTTTCTCCCGCCTAGCTATTCTGGTTCCCCTCTCTCTTCCTCCTCTAATAATTGTTCCCCACTCTTGCTCTCCGACTCTTCTCCCACATCTGATTCTGAGGGGTTCATATATCTGATAAGAAAATCTCTGGCATCTCTAAGGTTGTCAATTCTCACTTTTTTATCTGCCCGTGTAAATTGTAACCCTTCCAGTAATAGCCACCTATATAGCACTCTGTGTTTTCTTAGTTGAGCAGTTAAGAAATGATAATTTCGCCGTAATTCCCGTACCTGTCTGGGGAGTTGTTTCAGAATTATCAGTTGTTTGTCTTTATATGTTACCGTTTTGTCTCTGGACTTCAAAATCACTTCTTCCCTAAGTGCTTTCTTGGATAACCTAACATGGACCTCTATCGGAAGTTTCTGCCTCCTGGCGTAACTCGTATGTACACGGAAAACGTCATCAATATCTCTCAGAACATCTTCCTTAGCTATCTCCAGAATCCCAGCCAGAATGTCTGCCACTGTATCTCTTAGAGGCTCCCCCCGTTCTTCCACCACATTTTGTATCCTCAAATAAAAAGCTGATCTTTCCATCTCGAGAAAAATAATTTATTCTTCGAGGGCCCTATTCACTGAGAACTGCTCTCTTTCATTTCCATCCAGTCTCTCCTCACATCGTCCCACTCTCTTCTCTACATCTTGTACTTTACTCTCCTGTTGTGTCAATACCCCCTGCACACCTTCCAGTCTCTCGTTCAACATTTTAATATCATTTTTGACAGCTCCCAGCTCCCCTTTAAGATCTGATGTTAAGTCCTCTAAGTTTTTGGAGATAACTTCTTGGTTTTTTGTCATCACCTCATACATTGCCTGCAACATGTTCTGTAGATTTGATAACGATGGAGGTTTCCCTGTAGCAGCTAGATCATCCAGAGATTTAAAGGATGATGATGATGATGTAGGTGTGACAGGAGTAGCGACTGTTGGGAGTGTCAAAACTTTCCCCCCCGCTTTTGTGGTTGTCACGATTGTTGCACTCAACATCTTGCTTGTAGAGATATGGCCAATTGCTTTCAAATTTAATTATGATAATTGTGTAGTCAGTTCTGCTTACAGAGATTCGCCGAGATAATTAATCACCAAACAATATAACTTAATCCAATAGTTAGTCTGTTTCAGTATTAATTTAGTTAATTAACTAATCAAAAAAGAAAAAAAAGAAAAAAACACCCTTAAATTAGCCAATTCCAGAAATAAATTATATTCTGAAACCTTCAAATCAAATTTAGTCAATAAGGATGATAATCAATGGGGGTAATTCATTCAGTCAAATATAAAAGCAAATTCAGATCTCTCCTCTTCTGGAGACTCAGTGTGTATTGTAATTTTAAAGTTCACCACTAGAGGGAGGCAGGTTGCTATTCCGCACGCTCAATAATGATTAAACAGAAAGCAGGAAGAAAAAGGCTTTGGAGGGGGATAAATCCGCCCATTCAAGTCACAATTCTTAATCCACAAAGAAGTCAAGAGTAAACACCATCCATCAACGAGAGGGAGTGGGGTGATCCACCCAAAGACTTTCCAGCAATCAGATACAAATCCTTTTCCATGATGTTTCTTTCGAAGATCTTTCTATCAACTCAGCTCAGTAGTGGCCAAAGAGTTCATGGTATAATAAACAAACAGCCACTTTCCCTGTCTCAGCTCCAATCGAAAGAATGGCACTCAAGTTAACTCTTTTTCTGCCACCACGAACACTCAAAATAGGGGGATCAAAGGAATCAAAGATCCATCTCAAAGTAAAATAATATAAATTAGAAAGGGACTCCTTGCCCACCTGCGATCGGGTTTCCCTTCCAGTACGGTGAAGTCATCGTTTTGGGGCCACCATGACTGGCGCCATCTTTCCAGCCTGTGACAGGAGAGATTCGCCTTCGCGTGCCAGGTCATCACTCCACACTATTGCTCCTCTCCGCTTATGGCTGCCTCTCCGGGGCTGCCGCCGGCATAAAAGCCGCCCAGGCTAAGAAGTTTGCAAGAGTGAGGCAGGAGCAGTCTCCATGCTCATCTTGCTAGCACAGTGACGTCAACCGGAAACCACTTCACGTGATCTTGATTCTATCCCTCTGTTTATGCAGCCTAGAACTGTGTTGGCTTTTTTGGCTTCCGCAGCACACTGCTGGCTCATTTTTACATGATTGTCTACTAGGACTCCAAACCAAGTTTCACCTAATCTGTACCTATACATTTGGTTTTTCTTGCTTAAGTGTAAAATTTTACTTTTCTCTGTGTTGAGTCAACTTTATAGCACGTGTCTGACAAGGTATATATCTACAGGATAAAATTAAAATCTTTCTCCCTGCTAACTGAACAGATTTTTGCACGGATGTTCATAATTTGAGGATAATTCTCTTCCTGCTTCTGGGGTTGCACCTGTATTCCTTGTTACATTGCAATATCAGCTCATCTGGTGACAATTAACAACTTCTGTGCCTTCCATCCGTGTGAGTCAAGGTTGTACATAACTCTCACTTATCCCATCAGATATTTGGAAACAATTTTGATATCAATGCCAGCCAGTTCTCTTGTTTTTTTTTTCTTTGTGCACACTTTTTAGAGTAGCAGGAGTTCACAGTATATATGAACGGAGAAGGACATTACTTTCCACTAGCTATTTATTAGCCAATCATCTATCCCACTCCACCTATAAGGACTTGTTTAGCCAGGCAGAAAACATTAAGGAGAGCCAACACAGCATACGATTGTAGCAGTGGGACATGATATAATCCCAACAAGAATTAGGTCACCACAGAGAAATCCCAAAGGTGATTTTTCAAGAAGCAACTGGACTTTCTGATTTTTTTCTTTGAAGACATTTCATGAAGAAGCGAAACAACTCCAAAGAATCAGAGCTGAAGAAGCTTCTTGGATGAGAAGCAAAACATCTTCAAAGAAAAATCAGAAAGTCCCAGGTGTCTCTTGAGAAAAAGCACCTTTAGGACAACTGTGACCTGGCTGACAAAAAATCTCCATAGACCAGAGAGAAATGTTTATTTGAATCTGAAGAGCGACGATCCTCCATCCTTTTAAACATCTTGCAAAGAACAAAGGTTCCTTACATTCCTTCCTCTTTCCAGCCCAGCCTAAATCTCCCTTTCATCATTTGTTTTCAGATCACAGTTCAATATGTCCAGGAAGATGGAGCAGTCATCCCTGTGCGGGTTCATACCATTGTCATCTCTGTGCAGCATGATGAAGGCATTTCCTTGGATTCCATGCGCAAGGCCTTGCAAGAAAACGTGATCAAAGCTGTGGTGCCAGCCCACTACTTGGATGACAATACCGTTTACCACCTTCAACCCAGCGGCCGTTTTGTCATTGGAGGGCCACAGGTGCGCCTTTCGCCTCACACCTTTCTGAGCTGTCAAAGTCACCTTTTTATATTGGACCCAATACAGGCAGTCCTCGATGTACAATCTCAATTGAGACCAAGATTTCTGCTGCTAAGTGAAACATTTGTTAAGTAAATTTTTCCCCATTTTATGACATTTCTCTCCATAGTGGTTAAATGAATCACTGCAATTGCTAATAGCAATAGCTCTTAGCCCTTAGTGCTTTTACAGCCCTCTCTAAGCAGTTTACAGAGTCAGCCTCTTGCCCCCAACAATTTGGGTCCTCATTTCACCGACCTGGGAAGGATGGAACGTTGAGTCAACCTTGAGCCTGGTGAGATTCGAACTGCTGAACTGCAGGCAGCTGGTAGTCTGCAGAAGTAGCCTGCAGGATTGCATTCTAATCACTGCGCCACTGCGTTAAATTAATAACACAGTTGTTAAGGGAATCTGGCTTCCCCATTGACTTGGCTTGTCAGAAGGCCACAAAAGGGGATCACCTCAGGATGCTGCAATTGTCATAAATATGAGTCGGTAGCCAGGCATGTGAATTTTGATCATGTGATCATGGGGATGCTGCAGTGTTTGTGTGAAGAACGGACATAAATCCCTTTTTTCAGTGCCATTGTAACTTTGAACGGTCACTAAATGAACTGTTGTAAATCAAGGATTACCTGTAGAGTCACCTGTTGTAGCAATGCGGGAGATGGGTGTCTCTAAATAGGATAAATAAATATTCCTGGATTCTTATTCTTTTTAACCAAAAACATGACTTCCCTCTGGATTAATGCTGGAGACCCATTTTAGAGCTTGGAGGCACCCCTTGTCCCAGGTATACTGACCCACACTATCTGATTTCAAGAAATCCAGGTTTATCTGCCTATGAGCTCCTTTCTGATCCATCAAATTCTCCTGTGTTCTGTCAAATGTTATTTACCAAATTTCCTTGAACAAAGCAACATATCATGATAGAGTTATGAGACAGTATTGTGTCGGATTTGGGGAAACCACGTTTTTATGAGGATCTGGAAAAACCAGAACAGGTTCAAAAGAACAGTGACCAGGATGGTAGACAACTAGAAACTGCACCCTAAATAGAGAGTTTTGAGGAAACTGGGAGGGTCTTAGAAGAAGGAGGAGATTGAGGAGGATGTGATAGGCCTCTGAAGATACCTGAGAAGATGTCAGCCAGAAGGCCAGATATCCTATTCCCTATCGCTTTGGTACTGGACAGAAAATAACAGAGTTAAATGACAGACAAGTGGATTCTATATGAAAGTTAGGAAACCTTTTCTAATAGTAAGAACAGTCTGACAGTAGAATCTATTATTCAGGAGAGTTCAAGTTTGAATTAGATTAACAGAGTTGGAAGGGACCTTGTAGGTCATCTAGTCCAACACCCTGTCCAAGCAGGAGACCATACACCATTTCTGACAAATGGCTGTCCAATCTCTTCTTGAAAGTTTCCAGTGATGAAGCTCCCACAACTTCCGGAGGCAACTTCTGTTCCATGGGTTGATTGTCCTCACTGCCAGAAAATCTCTCCTTATTTCCAGGTTGAATCTCTCCTTGTTCAGTTTCCATCCATTATTCCTTGTCCGGCCTTCGGGTGGCTTGGAAAATAGCTTGACCCCCTCCTCTCTGTGGCAGCCCCTCAAATATTGGAAGATGCTATTATGTCTCTCCTGATCCTTCTCCTCATTAGACTAATCATACCCAGTTCATGTAACTATTCTTCATATGTTTTAGCCCCCAATCCCCTAATCATCCTATTTGCTCTTCTCTGCACTTTTTCTACAGTAGTGCAGAAGAATTCTCTTCCCTTGATTGGTTTGACCAAAAGCATTATAATTCTGATCCTGCACTAAGAGACACATGCATAGTTGAATTTGTTTTGAGGGTTACTCAAAATTTCCTAAGCCAAATTTTGACAGGATTTCAATTTACGGTCTGGAGGCAAGTATTATTAGCTAAACAAAAGACATCTTCTTTCATCTTTGAAGGCTTTCTTTGGTCTTTTGGGGGGAGGGGGGGCTATCATGAAACATTTTCCAAAACACTTGGTAAAAAACGATATTGGACATTTGGTCTTGCAATATTGCAGGGTGATGCAGGAGTTACTGGCCGGAAAATCATTGTGGATACTTACGGTGGATGGGGAGCCCATGGAGGTGGAGCTTTCTCGGGCAAGGACTACACAAAAGTGGACCGATCAGCGGCCTACGCAGCCCGGTGGGTGGCCAAATCTTTAGTGAAAGCAGGGCTGTGTCGTCGGGTTCTGGTTCAGGTAAGTGACATTTTATGACCAGTTTATTACAGCCATAAAACCAGATATCTACTGATAGAATTGTTACCTTTCTTTCTCTCCCTCCCCCCCCTCTCTCTTGTCTATCATCTATCTATCTATCTCTATCATCTCTATCATCTATCTATCTATATCTATCTATCTATTTATCTATCTATTTATCTATCTATCTATCTATCTATCTATCTATCTATCTATCTATCTATCTATCTATCTATCTATCTATCTATCTATCTTGTATCATATTGGCACATCTGGGAAAACCTGAATCTGAAAGCTTCCAGGTTTTCCCCACCCAAAGGCAAGACCAAGTCCCTGCCCAGCACCCACATGAACATCACGTGGTCCAATCAAAGCACTGTCCCAACTGGAGATGCCTCCTAGTCACACCCCTCCAGCTGTAGGGCAAGATGTCCTTGACTCTCTGAGAAAGCAATGTTATTATGACTATAATGCTCCATACAATCCCCCCTTCCAGTTTCCCACAGCGCTAAATGTGCCAGGCCTGAAAGTCTAATGCAAAAGATGGCTTCCAGGCCTGACAGGCCACCCCTGCCATGCTAGTCATCAGAAGATTGTGTCCTGTAATGAGAGTAACACAGGGGGTTAATTCAAAAGACTAACCACCTCTCCCCCTCCCCCAGGGGGACCCTTTGGCTTATCAGGATATTTATCATGGAATTGTTTCACTAGCCTGTCTGCTTTTACATCCCAGCTTTTAACCAGGTAGCTTCAGACAAAGGGTACCCTTTCCAATGAACTAAATATTGCAATCAACCTCTCTACAATCTAGAGTCTAAAATCTTTTTAACTTCGTAATGGGTTTCTCCTTGCACCACCACAGTTGGGAGGTGGTCGAGTCTGCGGCAGTGGTGAAATGTAAAATTTGTTACTACCGGTTCTGTGGGAGTGGCTTGGTGGGGTGGGTGGGTAATATGACTGAATGGGCGTGGCCAACTTTTTTTTTTACTTTTAAAACCATTTTTTCTACAGCCGAAGAGGTTGTAAAAAAAATGCTTTTAAAGCCTCTGATGATCCCAGCTGACTTGCCTGATTGGCAGAAACTTTTTTTCCTTTTAAAAACATTTTTTCTATAACCTCTTCAGCCGAAGAGGTAGAAAACATGGTTTTTAAAGCTTCTGTTGATCCCAGCTGAGCCGCACGATCATCAGAGGCTTTTTTTTTTACTTTTAAAAGCATTTTTTTGGCCAAAGAGGTTGTAGAAAAAATGCTTTTAAAATTTTTTTAAAAAGCCTCTGATGATTGCGCGGCTCAGCAGGGCAATGGGGGGGGGGCAGGGATTTTTGCTACCGGTTCTCCGAACCACCCGCCTCCATCGCTACCGGATCGGGCGATCCAGTCTGAACCGGGAGCATTTCACCCCTGGTCTGCGGTCTTAATCTAGACCCGATGGCTGGCTTCAGCAGACTATAGTGGAAAACAGGATGCACTTTTCCTAGAATATGGGGGAGGTTAAGTTGAACTGTCACTGGGTTAATTACTTTCAGTATTGGGAATGGACCTGAAGACATAGGTCCCAGCTTTCTACTAGGCAGTTTTAATTTTATGTATTTGGTTGATAGATAAACCCGATCTCCCACACAGAAGGGAGGCTGAAGAAATCAATGTTTGTCCAGTTGCTTTTTATATGCCTCAGCAGCTTCTGCTAGTACTTTTTTAGTGTTCTCCCAGCCCTTCCTCTGCAACTCCATCCACTCAGTCAGGGTCATGGAGGAGGAGGGTTCTCTGGGCAGTTCGGGCATGGGTACAAAGTCCATGCAGCTGGTGACCTTGAAGGGGCTTAATCCGGTGCTACTGTGCACAGCGTTGTTTTAAGCCCTTCTGCAAATGGCAGCAGGTCTGCCCAGTTCTCTTGTTCGTAATCCACATAACATCTTATATATTGTTCCACCATTGAGTTCACTCATTCCGCAGGTACGTTCGTACTCGGATGGAAAGCCGAGCTAAATCCTTGTGTGGATCTGACCAATCACAGGAATTCTCTCCAAAATTTAGCTGTGAATTGGACTCCTTGGTCTGAGGAGTCTGTGCAGTCGGTAAATCTGTTTGATGAACATCTTTGCCAGTTTTTTCGCTTATGGCAATCTTGAATAGGCTGTAAAATGGGCTTGCTTTGAAAATAAGTCGATTACTGTCCAAATGACTGTATTTCCCCCACTCTCTAGGAGCTTGACTATAAAATCCATTGCAATTTCCTCCCAAGGTCAGCTGGAGCTAGCTACTTGTTGGAGGAGCCCAGGAAGTTTCCCTGGTCTCATCTTCATGGCCGCACAGGTGGCACAGCTTTTTATATAGTCCTCTACATCAGCTTTCATTTTTGGCCACCAAAATTGCCACCTGGCCAGGTGCAGGGTTTTCAAAAATACAAAAAGTCTGGCTAGTTGGGAATCATGGCTGCACTGTAGCACTTCCAGTCTCAAGCTGGTAGGGACATATAGTTTTGATCCCTTCCAAGCCAGTCCATCTCTCATGGTCAAGATGTCTCTATTATCTGAGCCATGGGTCAGTTGGAAGTGCTGTTTTCAGTGCCACTGTCAGTTTGTCCTGCCCGGGATTGGGTTGTCATCTGGTTTGCCCCCTGGTGGTCCCTTGTGCAGCTCATTGCAAGGGGGGAATGATGGTGTGAACAACTTCTTCCTTGTGGCTGTCGAATTGGGGTTTTCTCAATAGGGCATCAGCTAGCAGATTTTTTCCTGCTGGGATGTACTTCAGCTCGAATTTAAATAGTCTGAAGTATTTTGTCCAGTGGATTTGTTTGGGAGATAGTTTTCTGGGTTTTTTTAGAGCATCAAGGTTTTTGTGATCAGTCCAGACGTCGAAGGGCACTTTACCCCCTTCCAGAAAATGCCTCCAGGAGAGGAGGGCCCAGCAGACAGTGTAGGCGTCTTTCTCCCAAATGGCCCACCTCCTTTTGGTGTTGGTGAGCTTCTTGGACACCCAGGCACAGGGTAGGAGCTGTCCTTGTGGGCCTTCTGTAGGAACACGGCTGCCATGGCTACATCACTGGTGTCTGCTTGGATGATGAACGTCGTTCTGGGTCCAGGTGTTGGAGAATCGACTCCTTGGCAAAGAGCCATTTTAATATCTCAAAGGCTCTTTGGCAGACCATTGACCAGGCAAGGGTTGGCTCAGCCATGGTTTCACAGGAAGAGACCACATTTTTTACAGTTCTGTTAGGGGCAGGGCAACTTCTGCGAATGCTGGGATAAATTGCCTGTAAAAGTTTGCAAACCCCAGGAAGCTTTGAAACTGTTTGTGGGTGCATGGGGGCTGTCAGTCCAGCACCGCTTTCACTTTTACTGGATCCATTTCCACCCCTCCAATGGATATTCGGTAGCCTAGATAATCTAGGGAGGTTTGATGGAATTCACATTTTGACAGCTTTGCGTAGAGCTTCATGGTGAGGAGTTTTTTCAGTACTTGCCACACTAGCTTTACATGTTCCTCGAGTCTATCTATCTATCTATCTATCTATCTATCTATCTATCTATCTATCTTGTATCATATTGGCACATCTGGGAAAACCTGAATCTGAAAGCTTCCAGGTTTTCCCCACCCAAAGGCAAGACCAAGTCCCTGCCCAGCACCCACATGAACATCACGTGGTCCAATCAAAGCACTGTCCCAACTGGAGATGCCTCCTAGTCACACCCCTCCAGCTGTAGGGCAAGATGTCCTTGACTCTCTGAGAAAGCAATGTTATTATGACTATAATGCTCCATACAATCCCCCCTTCCAGTTTCCCACAGCGCTAAATGTGCCAGGCCTGAAAGTCTAATGCAAAAGATGGCTTCCAGGCCTGACAGGCCACCCCTGCCATGCTAGTCATCAGAAGATTGTGTCCTGTAATGAGAGTAACACAGGGGGTTAATTCAAAAGACTAACCACCTCTCCCCTCCCCCAGGGGGACCCTTTGGCTTATCAGGATATTTATCATGGAATTGTTTCACTAGCCTGTCTGCTTTTACATCCCAGCTTTTAACCAGGTAGCTTCAGACAAAGGGTACCCTTTCCAATGAACTAAATATTGCAATCAACCTCTCTACAATCTAGAGTCTAAAATCTTTTTAACTTCGTAATGGGTTTCTCCTTGCACCACCACAGTTGGGAGGTGGTCGAGTCTGCGGCAGTGGTGAAATGTAAAATTTGTTACTACCGGTTCTGTGGGAGTGGCTTGGTGGGGTGGGTGGGTAATATGACTGAATGGGCGTGGCCAACTTTTTTTTTTACTTTTAAAACCATTTTTTCTACAGCCGAAGAGGTTGTAAAAAAAATGCTTTTAAAGCCTCTGATGATCCCAGCTGACTTGCCTGATTGGCAGAAACTTTTTTTCCTTTTAAAAACATTTTTTCTATAACCTCTTCAGCCGAAGAGGTAGAAAACATGGTTTTTAAAGCTTCTGTTGATCCCAGCTGAGCCGCACGATCATCAGAGGCTTTTTTTTTTACTTTTAAAAGCATTTTTTTGGCCAAAGAGGTTGTAGAAAAAATGCTTTTAAAATTTTTTTAAAAAGCCTCTGATGATTGCGCGGCTCAGCTGGGCAATGGGGGGGGGCAGGGATTTTTGCTACCGGTTCTCCGAACCACCCGCCTCCATCGCTACCGGATCGGGCGATCCAGTCTGAACCGGGAGCATTTCACCCCTGGTCTGCGGTCTTAATCTAGACCCGATGGCTGGCTTCAGCAGACTACAGTGGAAAACAGGATGCACTTTTCCTAGAATATGGGGGAGGTTAAGTTGAACTGTCACTGGGTTAATTACTTTCAGTATTGGGAATGGACCTGAAGACATAGGTCCCAGCTTTCTACTAGGCAGTTTTAATTTTATGTATTTGGTTGATAGATAAACCCGATCTCCCACACAGAAGGGAGGCTGAAGAAATCAATGTTTGTCCAGTTGCTTTTTATATGCCTCAGCAGCTTCTGCTAGTACTTTTTTAGTGTTCTCCCAGCCCTTCCTCT